TGGAAAAATAATATTTTACATTTCATCTTTCAACTCTGAAATCTGTTGATTTAAATATTAGGTTAAAATTTATAATTACGATATAAAATTCATTTACTGTGAAATAACTTTGTTATAGGTAAGAATTCATAATCATGATGTGACATTTATTTACTGGGTAATATTTTCATCAGTTTTCAAAATAACAAGAGCTGAAGGGGTTATATTTTTAGGATTGATTAATTTTTGATAAGAGCTGATAAAACAGAACTGAATCGGTTAAAACACCAGGTATTATTCATTGAGATTAAAAAAAAAAGAATCTATCATTAAAAATCGATTTTCCTTTTTTCAATATTGATCGATTTGTCAGAAATCGATTTCGGAAGGAAGAATGAAATAATCGATTTCTGTGAAAAATTCGATTTTTACTATTATTCAACAAACTACCTACATGCTATTTATATACCAATAATAAAACTAAGAGATTCATGACATTACAAATCAAATGAAATGATAATTATAAAAAATAACTAAAATGACAACATTCTGATTTTAAAACTAAAAATAAAAAAAAAAATGTTTTTTCAAACTTTCAGGGTAAAGACTAAGGAAACCAAATATTATTGCTACAAATTTCAAGTACCTCCAAACATTTCATTAGAATGAACATAAAATGAAATGATGAGCATCTTATGGTCTCAAAAAGTAACATATAAAACAAATATTTCATCAATGTTTGAGTTTAAACAATGGAAAATTAAAATTAATTATTTTCACAAATGTTCAGCCTCATTTTACATTTGACTAGAATATTTATTACCATAAACTTCTAGGTAAGGATTTTAAAAACAATAAATTTAATTATCTCTTTACTAAATTACGGTTTCGTGTTTTCCTGACCATGTTTCCCGCTTTGGTAAATAATATTTCAGGTGACGCAGAAGTGGCCATCACAGAGAGATGCTACAGAGCCAATACGATAACGGTGCTTTCTTAAGCTTTCAATAACATTTTTATCGTAGCCTTTTTTGGAAATTCTATATTTTTAAGAATTTAAGAATGTTTTTTTTTGTGTTAATATTAGGAACTTTTGTTATGTAGACGGAAATGATAAGCCGCATTGTCTATAACAGTAAAATAATTTGGGGAAAGATTTGGCAGCAGTTGTTCATTAAATCAATTTTTAAAAAGACTTGGCGGTCATATCTTCATCGTAGTCAACAGATTATTGTTTTATTTATACTGCCTGTGTGTAGAATGTAAACCTGTTTACCGCGAGAACAAGGTCCATTTAGAGAGCACATATTACCGTTATCCGCCTTTTCATATTTAACAAAATCATGTATTTCGGGCCAAGTTTCATCAAGGACACTATCTCTGGTTTTGATTGGCGATATTTCCTAATTTATCGCAAATACTGCTGCCGCCATGCTACGATGCGAGATGACTCCGTTATGAACATTCTTTCATTTATTTTTCTGTACTTGGAGTCAGCATCTAGCAAAATATTACGCAGCGTGTTCAAAGATTAATATTCACTATCGGGATAATCCCATAACTCGTTACGAACCATTCCTAGAGTTGAAACCTTGTTTTATTAGTAACATGTATATACAATTCGGCGTATAACGTCTTCGTCGGCATTATCAACCTTCTTGAGCTTATGATTATTTTTTTTGTTTTACAAAATGATCAATGACATGTCCTGCTCTAACAACAGTAAAAATTGTAGTACGAGCAAGTTTAGTCAGCTCACAAATCCTTTTTAAAATATCATTGTGAGTTATTGAGCTAAGAGTGACAACTATTTTTGTTATTTTCAAAACAATGGATCAAAAACAATTTCGTGTCTTAATCCATAATATCGTTTTAAATAATCGAAGAGTAAAGTTGCGTGAGTTAGTTGAAATGTAAAGCTATCAAAAAAAAGTGTTGGCTTTATATTGCATGAGCATTTGAGTATGAGAAAGTTTTGTTCAAGGTGGGTGCTACGTGAGCACACAATCGACCAAAAAAAGAACGTCTTGGTAATTCTGAGCAGTGTTTGGCCATGTTTAAGCATTACAAACCGAAAATTTTGCGTCGATATGTGACAATGGATGAAACATGACACTTCACTCCGGAATCAAAACGATCGTCATCTGAGTGGAGAGCAACTGATGAACCTCTTCCAAAGTGCCCGAAAGCACAACAATTGGCTGGAAAGGAAAAGTGCTCGGTGTTTTGGAATGTGCGTGGTGTAATATTCATCGACTATCTTGAGAAGCGAAATACCATCAAACAGTGAATATTTATTATATTGCTTTATTAGAGCATTTAAAGGCCGAAATTGCAAAGAAACGACCGCATATGGCAAAGAAAAAAATGTTTCATTAAGACAATGCATCATGTCCCGAATCAATCAAAACAATGGCAAAATTACATGAATTGAACTTTGATTGCTCCCACATCCTTCAATTTCGCCTCAAAAAAATGCTCACCGGATAGAAATTTCGCTCGAATGGAGAGGTCATTGCTGAAACTGAGGCCTATTTTGAGAAAAAAAAGGATCGTTCAAACTGTACAGTGTATAACATTGTACTGTACAGTTTGCTGATGGCAAACGTCCTTCTTACTGAGTTCTTCTTCTTTGTGAAGGGTTATCTGACCAGGCTAATATTGCAATCTGTTTTCCTTTCCCTTTGCGCAACACAAGCGAGCCTCATCTTCACGTGTGATGATCCTTCATGACAACAGGAGACGTTCAGGACTGTGGTTGGACACCGATGAGCCACCCAGGCACTTCCCAAAGGCGAAAACCCACCAAAAAAAAAGACCATGATTACTTTATGGTGGTCAGCGGCTTGTGTGATTCACTAGAACAGGGCCAAACCATCACAGCGGAGTCCTATTGTAATGAAATCAACGAAATGTACCAAAAATTGCGTCAGTAGCAGCCGGCACTGGTCTGCTTAAAAAAATCAGCGTCCGAAAATTAAACGAATTGAGCGTAGAAGCACTTCGATAATTTTCTCACCAGTAGATTATATCACAATATGCTAATCTAGACAATATAAAGATTTGGCAAAGTTTCAACTTCAATTTGGAAGTTATAATATCTCTACTATGATAGAGTTGACGTAAGATACTGTACGAGCTACGACAAACTGAATTTATTATATGTTTGTGAAATTGCAGATCAGCATCTAGCAACAAACCCAAGTTCTTGCTTTCTGTAAGTATTTGTAGTAAGTTTGTCCAAGTTTGATTTCAATAAAAGTCATTTTTTCAGTCACTAAAACCTTTTCGGGGGTTTTTGTCTTTTAAATACGCCTTTTCTATTGGCCAAATTCAATTATCCGGATATTCAATTATCTGAACCAACGTCGGTTCCAATTGATCCGGATAAATGGGGATCTCTACTGTATTCCATACTCTCCACGTAAGATGAAATATTTGACTTAGGATGGAGTTCCCAACCTTGATGTTTATTCAAACTGAAAGTTGTTTTTTAAATACTTATATTAACAGCATACAAATTACTAAAACTAAGACATACAATTCTCATTTGCATACAACAAAAAACACATACTGCATAAAACAGATTGTAATAAAGATAAAGGCCGGGACACACCTGTCATACACCCTTCATATCCGACTCCCATCATACAGTCGGACGAGTGTCTGAGAGGGAAATGGTTCTTTAGTACGAATAAAGTAGTTCACATCGTTCCGATATTCCGATACGTAGCCAACCCCGCTCCCACTCGACTCCGTTCATGCATTCCGATCATGATCCGATCGTGCAGTCTATTTGTTATCTAGCTGCGGGACGCGTATATTTGAGTTTTTTGTTTTCTTTAAATTATATTTAAAAAACATCATTATAACCGGAGGAAACAGAAATGGAAATTTCTATGTTTTAGTTTGAGAATGTCCATATAGGACGAAACTGCAATAACGTTAATTACAAATAAAAGTGGTAAAAAACATAGAAATTTTCATTTCTCTTTTCATTATGATCTCCTACCACGTAGTAACGGCTACATCCATCAATTTATTGAAAACCGGAGGAACTTATTGAACAAGTTAGAAAATATCCAGTTCTTTATGACCAGACTAAAGAGCTGTACCGAAACTCCGAGTATAAAGATATAATCTGGAAAAAAGTTATGAAGGAATTGAATCTACAACTTTGTTAAAGTTATGCACAGGGCCGGCCCGCCCTTATAGGCAAACTAGGCAACTGCCTAGGGCGCTCGTATTTGGAGGGCGGCATAGCAATGCGAGCGGCTTCACCACTGAGCACGCGGATCGATCAAAAAAATGGTTCAATCAATCGAATCGTACGTGCGGCGCGACGCGCATCGCAACTCGCGGAGCGCGCCACCGCCGCCCCCCACGCATGCCATCGCCGCCAGGCGCCAGTCGCCGCCGCGCACTCTTAACTATCTCATGTGTTCTCCGTCAACTCTATGCGCTAAGTGAATTCCTCGGACTCTCATTGTGAATAATAATAATTGCAATCACCTACAGGCTACAAGTAAGTAATTCGTGAAGGTATTATTTTATTTAGAATAATAATTAAGTTTTTATTAATATAATTTATGTCTAATGTCCATACAGTAGGCATGCATTTTTCGAGTGTAATGACATCTGAAAGATGTATTCGCTTAGCGAGTATTATGAAATCTTTAGATCTTACATCTTGAGTGGAGAGAGTTTAAATTGAACCTACTTAGATGGGTTACACACGTTATCACACGTACCACTTCCAAAAAGTGCAGTGCTTAAATGAAACGGACGGTGTAGTCGGGGTGGGTTTTTTTAATTAAATGCGCTTTTGTATCACGGTAAACATTTTTATTTTTCGCTTAACACAAGTAACATAACTGTAGGTACACCGGGACACCTCGGCCTTTGCGCTCATGGCGCCTAGATGTATCCGCTATAACGGATAATTGTTGAAACTGATATTACACAAATGTCTTTTTTTTCTGTTCCAGTCATTTCTTGAGACATGGCAGATGACAAAAAAAATGTCTGGAGCACAATTTCGTAAGAGAAAATTAGAGAAACAATTATCGTTAGCAAAGCAAGCAGACTCGTTCAAGAAGTATCTTCGTCCAAATCTTCAAGAACAGCAACCATCAGGCAGCAATACAAATGATGATATGAAAGAAGACATAACCAATCCCACCACAGGAAGCTGTACTACAGAAGGTCCCGCTTTATTTTCAGCAAAAGAAAATACTCCACAACAGCGTGAAATAACCAAACAACCACAACCATGCAAAAGTACAAATGATGATATGGGAGAAGACACTAATAATCCTCCCACAGAAAGTTGTCTCATTTTAAACTTCAGTGACCCTGCAACATGGGATGTCTCTACTGATCATCTGCGGCAAATCCTCGTCAAACACGGGCCAGATCAAGTGAAAAATATCGAGTTCCCATTAGATAACCAGCGAAGAAAGTTTTCTACAGTGCATTATAAGAGAAAACTAGTCAATGGTGAACGTGTGCCTCGTTCATGGCTGCAATATTCAGCTTCAAAGGATTCTGTGTTCTGTTTCTGTTGTAAGCTATTTTCTACAGATGAAAAATCCGCTCTATGCAACAAAGGTGCGAATGACTGGAAGAATATTTCATATATATTATCAAATCACGAGAAAAGTAGTAGCCATTAAGCAAACTACCAACAGTGGAAAGAGTTAGAGCTTCGGTTGAGGACTAATAAAACAATCGATGAGGAAAATTTACGTTTGATAAGAGACGAGGAAAAATACTGGCAACAGGTTCTCGAAAGGTTGATTGCTTTAGTGAGAGTTCTAGGAAGTCAAAACTTACCTTTTCGTGGAACGCATGATAAACTATTTACTCCTGGCTATGGATTTTTTTTGAAAATGGTTGAATATCTAGCTTTATTTGATCCTATAATGAATGAACATCTTAGAAAAGCGAGTAACAAAGATATTCATGTTCATTACCTCGGAAAAAATATCCAAAATGAACTGATCAGTGTTTTGGCTAAAGCTGTCCAGGAGAAAATACTGGCGTATATTAACTCAGCTAAATATTATTCAATAATTCTAGATTGTACACCTGACGTTAGTCATGTTGAACAAATGACCATCATCGTTCGAATTGTCAAATTGATTACTGATGAACGTAAATGTGAAATCAAAGAATATTTTTTAGGATTTGTCCCTCTTTCAGACACCACCGGTGCTGGCTTAACTGAAAAAATTCTTGATCAGTTAAATGAGATGTCTCTCTCATTAGAAAATTTACGTGGGCAAGGGTATGACAACGGAAGTAACACGAAAGGTAAGCACAGTGGTGTTCAAAAAAGGATTTTAGATATAAATCCACGTGCTTTTTTTGTACCCTGCAGTTCACACACGCTAAATCTTGTTGTGAATGATGCTGCAAAATGTTGTCTGGCAGCGACATCCTTTTTCAACTTGGTCGAAAAAATATATGTATATTTCTCTGCCTCAACCCATCGTTGGGAAGTCCTATTGCGTCATGTGCCTAGTTTGACACTGAAACCATTGAGCGATACAAGATGGGAAAGTAGGATTGATGCATTGCGTCCATTACGTTACCAATTAGCTGATGTGCATGATGCACTTGTGGACATTTATGAAAATCATACTCTGATTGGTGCATCTGGAAATCAAATTCGAATTGAGGCTCAGTCTATTGCTAAAAAAATTGCGGATTTTAAGTTTGTTGCTTCACTTGTCGTGTGGTATAATATTTTGTTCGAAATTAATTTGACTAGCAAAGTTCTTCAATCCCAGGAATCTAACCTCAATACCGTTACAAATGCTCTTCTAAAAACGAAAACATTTCTTGAAAGCTGCAGAAGTGATTTGGGATTAGAAAAAATGCTAGTAGAAGCTAAAGAAATATCAGAAGAAATGAATATTGAAGCATCATTCGCATCAGAAACGAAGCCAGTGCGCCTAAGAAAAAAGAAAAGACAGTTAAGCTATGAAGCGGAAGATGAGCCAATATGTGATGCGAAAGACCAGTTCAAAATAAATTTTTATTTTGCTGTGCTAGATACCGCAGTAAATTCAGTTGATGAGAGATTTAATCAGCTAAAAAATATTAGTCATGTGTTTGGATTTCTCTACAACGTTCATGAGATGCAAAATAAAAATTCCAAAGTTGTTCTGGAACACTGCATAAAGTTGGAAGAATCTCTTAGTGATGGAAACTCTAAGGATGTTGATGCAACTGAGTTATGCAGTGAATTACAAGCTATTGCAAGAAGAGTACCAAATAACACTGCGCCACAAGACGTTTTAAATTATATTTGTGCAAATGAGCTTCTAGATAGCGTACCTAATTTAGTAACAGCAATAAGGGTATTGCTCACACTTCCCGTGTCTGTGGCCAGTGGAGAGCGCAGTTTTTCTAAACTTAAACTGATTAAAACATATATATGATGGAATCGGCCGATACTTGATGAAAATCNCAAGAAAGGCTTGTGGGGTTATCGACTCTATCTATAGAGCAAGAAATTGCTGAAACAATTGATTTAAAAGAAATGGTTTCTACATTTGCAAGAATGAAGACAAGAAAAATTCATTTTTCATAAATTAATGTCTACAGCCTAGCAACAGAACCATGTCACAAGACTATGCTCTAATTATTTGATTAAAAAATACACGTATAATCTGCTTTGCTTCAATTACCTGAACCCATGCCAGTACCTAGTAAAAATGTTTTTTGATCTTTGAATATGCTATTTCCGGGTTATTCAAAAGTACAGAATTCGCAGTTTTGTTTGTGCGGAGTTTTGTTTTGTCACTCTTTAATAGGTGTACCTAGTATTTTTTTGTTGTGTTTTTTATGGGCGTCGTTCCAATGTTTTGCCTAGGGCGCCAAGTTTCGTTGAGCCGGCGCTGGTGGTGGGGCCCATAACGGTGATTTGCCTACCGACAACAACCCTGGCAACGACAACGGACGCTTTGAGTGGACGCATGAGCTGAGAGATAGCCTTATGCATTGCTACGAGAGTAGTGAACCCGCGCGAAGAGGGTACATGGCGAGTTTGCATGCTCTGTGGTGTGAAACACATCCGGAGCATGCCGCCTTTTCCGCCCAAAATCTTAGGGATTACGTATCCCATCTTCGGCGGCAGGGCTATATAGCTCCTCCCCAGCCTGCTAACGAAGTGGTAGAAGTGGCAGTTCTACCAACCGTTGGCACGGCTGTAGAGGAGACTCGCACCATACCAACAATGGAGACGACAATCAGAACACGCAGGGCGCTCCACAGATGAAGCCACAAGAACTGGCTTGTTTGAATGCGGAGGTTCACAGTTTTCTAACAGAAGAGGCTGACATCTGGCAAATCAACACCGAGGTGTATAACGTCGTCCAATTGCTTTCCGAATCGGAAGGACGAAATCCCGGCCTTGCGGTTCGGAAAATTGAACGGCGTTCAATAACAGACCGATAGCATGCTTGAATTCGTGTTATAAGTTGTTTACATGCATCTTATACACACGAATACTCACCGCAGTTGACCGAGTGTTCGAACGGATATATGAGCAGAGAGGGTCGAAAAGGGGAGTCGCTGGATGTAAAGAGAACCTCCTCATCGATAGATGTGTAACGCAGGACTTGATACAATATAAGCGTAACCTCTCTATGGCCTGGATCGATTACCGTAAGGCATTTGATACAATTTCGCTACACGTGTTTCTGGCTGTTGGTCTCATCAGCGCGGTGCAGCCAATTGCAAAGATAGACAACAACTGGTTACCCACGGAATCCCAAGGCTTTGAGGTCATGCCAGCATCGTTAACCACAACCACTCTCCACAAACGTGAAGTAAGCGGTCAGTGGGTTCATGAATCGTGTGTCCTGAGTAGACATAGAGAATCAAGAATGACAGCTTTCTACATTCGCCCGATTAAGATTTCTGCCTTTTGAGGAAACCGGTATGATCTAGAGATCAAAGAGCGCGAAGGCATCATTCTATCTAGGACTCCTATAACCAGAACAATCATTTAAACAAACTAGAGTCTGCGGATTTCAAAGAGTAAATGTCGGTACTTCATTTGTTTTTCCTCCTCTTATCGAATGACATTCGCTTCACCCGGAGCAGAAAATCCATAACGAATATCGTCTTACTTTGATGACCGAGAAGAACTACTTAATAATAATAATTATTATTATTATCGCAATAATTTACATCAAACTCAATGATTTTTTCCTTAGGTCCTATTTGGCTTCCTATAATTGGAAATTTACACCAAGTGAAGAAATTATCAATAGCCCAAGGAGGACAACACTTGGCTTTTTCCAAGTTATCTCAAGACTATAATTCTAATGTTATTGGACTGAAATTAGGCGGAAAATACACAATAGTAATTGCATCTTACCCGTTAGTTAAAACAGTTCTTACTTCGGAAGAATATGATGGAAGGCCTCAGAATTTCTTCATGATTCTCCGATCATTGGGTACAGGAAAAGGTAAGAAAAATCATGGACTAGTAGAGTTATATCTCCGGATTAGAAAGCGCATTCGCTGAGGTTCAGTACTCAAAATGGCAAATCATGAACGATAGAAAACGAGTCAAATTTATAGGTTGCTTCGAAAGTTTTGTTCGTTTTTATGAGTCTACTTCAAATTGTAATATCTTAGTGAATACTCATTCGATTGAATCGAAATAAGTCATTTTTTTTTCACTGCACTTTTGCCAATGTAACACATGTCAATTAATTCCTTCAGCATAAAAATTGTGTGTTCGGGATTCGATTGGCAAAGGTTCTACCGGTGAGAAAGTGATCCAAATGCTTGAAAAAGATAGTCATCGGTTGGCGAGAGGTCTTGGGAGTGTGGTGGGCGAGTCAGTGATTTTTAAACCATCAAAATCCGCATGAAAGCTGACGCCCAGTTCTTCCGCCATCACACGCATCGTTTGTGATGGGTCAGTCTCCACCAGCATCCTGAAATCTTTGTTTTGGATTACTGTAGGTCCCTGTAGAGGGACATCCTGTATACGACGATTTATTTTAAGAGCCTGCAATTACACAACTATGGTGTTAACCACGGTCAATTTTTTGAAGAGTAAAATAATTTTCAAGTTTTTGGTGCGAAGTTATTTTTATTTTTTGTTAACACCAAAAATTACTCAAAATTATACAGTATTGTAACAAGAACACAATATTCAATAATATCAAACCACAAAGCATTAAAATAAAATAAATATTTTGAAAGAAACTCATTGATTTTCTGGTGATTATTTTGGAGAATTATTTTTGGCAAGAAATTCTACAGAAAATCAATGAGTTTGTTACGAAATACCTATTTTATTTCGATGTTTTGTGATTTGATTTTATTGAATATTAAGTTCTTGATACAATACTGTACGATTTTGAGTAATTTTTGGTGTTAACAGAAAATAAAAATAACTTTGCACCAAAAACTTTAAAAATTATTCTCTTCAAAAAAATTGACCATGCTTAACACCGTAGTTGTGTAATTCGTAATATAACAGGCTTTTAAAATGAACCGTCGTATACAGGATGCTGTCTATTTATCGTTTTAGCAAATTTTTTTGTGGTCCCCATTGAAAAAAATGGGTAAAAAAAAAAACCCAATCAGATGGTCATGATTTCCAATCCAGATATATTTTTCAATGCTGAACAACTTTTCTAAATAACATTTCCCGAGATTTTACGAAAAAAAAGTACTTTACTCTTGTCTCAAAATCAAATATCCTCGTATATTACTTGTGTTTTACTGTATTTTGTTGGTTCATGTTCAGTTTTAGGGGATGCACAAACTTTTATTAGGAATAACTTTTTGTCGAAAAACCCTTAATAAATAAGTTTCCCATATGGTGCATACTTTGGGGATGACACTATATAACGGATGTATGGTGCTGCAAAACAAAGTGTGTCAAAGTGTGTAAACAAAGTGGTGTTATAGAATCGGGATGGGAATGATAAATGAATGTGCTATTGAATTATGTGAAGTTATCCTAGTCTCAAGATAGGAACGACTATGCATTTCCAGGCGCTTTTGTTTAGAATTTTTCAAGGAGAGTTAACATATTTGATAAGTTTTCTAAACTAAGATAGTATGTGTTCATATGTGTCCATAAGATATGAGGTCTCTGAAAAAATAGGTCTACATCAATAATAGCGTATTCCACGAGTAAAACAAGTGCATGTTCGGTGTATTTCTATCTTTCCATAATGCTATCCATAATGCTATAAGTGGCACTATCGACTATCACTGCAAAAATCTATAGAGAAGGTGAACATGGCTCCTGTGACACATAACTCATATTTATATCTTATGTTTAGAATGCGTTCATAATATGATGGATGGGCAAATCATGTATTCTATGAAATACTAAATGATACATTTACAGAAGCGGCACATTTATCAACAAGAGTAGCTTAAGAAGAATAAATGTGTAACGGTATTCTACTGTTTTTGAGAATAATATCTACAGGAAAGAAATGAATCTCAACTTTTAAACGAGAAACAATATTGAGGTTGAACAAAGTTTACGTGAAAAGGTATCAGTTTCAGTAGTTTTCAGATTAGAAATTATGAATCATATTACCTTATTTCACATAATTGATGTCCTTTAACAAATCGAAATATGGCATCATAGCATCGTTTATAAATGAATTAGTTTTACAAACGTATGTTCCTACTACCTATCACTTCTCAGAGCTAAATATTGACGTGTTAACGTGATTAGCTCTAATGATCTATTATGGATAAGATTTCAATGTCCATGATTCGTCCAAAATAAGGGCAGAAATAAATACATAGGCGCATTTTAGATGTAAGATATAAAATTATTGACTTTCTTATTAGTCAATGGGCTATGCTTGAAGACTGGCAATAAACAAATCTAAAGCAAATGAAACTTAAAACCTTCAAACCAGTCTCTATATACCTACACAGTAGGTTTAATGGACTGACGCCTATCAGAAAACAACTACTCCCCTGGCTAATACCACGAAGGGCGTTGGATTATATATCAGTCCATTAAACCTACTGTGTAGGTATATAGAGACTGACTTGAACGTTTGAAGTTCCATTTGCTTTAGATTTAAAATTATTGAGTTCTGTTAGTCCCACCGGCAAGGCTGTCTATTACTAAGTCAAGATTGAACTGCCTCTGCGCTTAAAACTTGTATTTCATGATGCAATATCAGATAACGCTGTTCAGATTTACCGTTAAGTCTTTCCACAAGGATTATTTGAATTCTGAAAAACAAGAATTGAAACTTCCTATGTTTGTATACCCACCACTTGTATTTGTAACTAACATCACTGCAGTTTAGTTCTTCAATGTAACTAACATTACTGCAGTTTAGTTCTTCAGTGACATTTTCAAACGAATACAAGTTATAATTCTCATTTTCATGATGTTCTTCTACCAGATAATAACGGCTAAATAAATCAATTCATTATTTGAGTTTTCTGTCAATCCCATAGATGGCGTCTTTGAAAAGGTGGTCGTTGCCTTACTCACGATTGTTTCTATTACGGACAAGTTTGTATTCGTGACCCAGCCAAATACTATGGCAGATCGGCAAAGCTGCCTGTCACCAGACAAGAATGCATTAGTTTGGGCTGACATATATTAAACACATATATGTTCAACTCTTCATTAATATTAATGGTTGCAATTCAATTTTCAGGCATAACGGGAACTGATGGAGAACTATGGAGAATTCAAAAACATTTCGTTTCTGTTCATCTCAGGCAGCTTGGATTAGGAAAGACTGCAATGGACACACAGATACAAGCAGAAGCTTCCGAAATATTAGTAATTATCGAAGAAAATGTTAATAAAGAACTACAAATAGGGCAAATACTGCCAAAATCGGTTCTCAACATTTTATGGATGCTGATGAGTGGTTTAAGGCTGAGTAGAAATGATGACCGTCTTATAAAATTGTTAAACCTCCTACATAAAAGAGCAAAAGCTTTCGATATGGCAGGAGGTACGCTGAATCAGATGCCGTGGTTGCGATTTGTGACTCCAGAATGGACGGGTTATAATTTAATTCGGAATATTAACGAGGAATTCATGACATTGCTAATGGAACCTATTCGAGAACATTTTAAAAAATGGACAGATGACCGAAATGATGATTTGATATATTCCTTCATCACAGAAATGCGAAAAGCTGAGGGTGAAAAATCAACGTTTACAGGTGAATTTTTAGCCAGAAAGTGAAAACTGTTCGAACAATGTATCATTTTTGTAGAGGATCAACTTTTGATGGTTTGTTTGGACATATTTTTGGCTGGGGCACAGACGACCAGTAATACCTTAGACTTCGCGTTTCTGATGATGCTGTTATATCCCGAAATAAAAAATAAAGTTCATGCCTGTCTTGATGAAGCATTTCAGAAATCCGAAGAAATAACTTACAGTGAGAGAAAAAGGTAATTATACACAAATATACTCTCTACTAGGTATTAGTAAAATTTAATTTTGTTGATTTTTACAAAAAAAAAATGAAATTGAAGAATATTTATTGAATGGAAGTCATTTCCGTTACGAATATTTTCACCTCCTGGCAGACTAAAAAAACTATCTACAGTTATCGAAACTTCTTATCTCTCCTGATAAGTAAATACATTAACACTAGCAGACTTTTCGAGTATGCTAGTTGAGTTATCGTATCCTATTTGAATTTGAAATTATGTTGAGTTATCATATCCTATTAGAAATTCTGTCCATTTGTGGTTCAGCCTAGCAACCATTGGTGATTTGCGTGATGTCGGATGCCAACGGCCAAATGTAGCGCCTAACCCCACTCTCAAGTCTGACTTACACCACACAACTAGTGGATTGTTAATTCATGAAGATCGTTAATTTGGCATCAAATATTTTACATGATTAGTTTCTCTCAGAATCGACTTCAAACTTGAAAATAATATTATACTGCATGAAGCTTTTATAATCTGTATTATAATAAGTAGGTGACGTGAATGCGATAGATATTGAAGACAACCACCTCACTGTTGGATTACAACTGGTGAAATTCATAACCATACCAGAGAAATGAGATAAGTACTGAAAACTGAATTTTCAGTCTTTCAAAAGAGTGGGGTTATAAAAAAACACCCCTTCCACATCAGATGTATAATTTTTTCCTTCCTAAACTGCCTCGTGTCGCCAAATATGACCTAGTGAGAAGTGTAAATGAAGAGATGATATACTGAACCCTAAATTTAAGTCCTTCAAAATTCCGGTATCATAGAAAAAAAACCAATTCCACATTAGATGCTTAGTTTTTTCCCTCTTAAACTGGCTAGTGTATCCAAATATACTCAAATATGACCTAGTGGAAAATGTTGGTGAAGAGATGTTATACTGAACACTCAATTTTCAGTCGTCCCAAATTAAGGAGTTATAGAAAAATTCCTACACGTGAAAAGAATATTTTTTTTCTGTAAACTGTCACTTGTCTCCGAATACGACCAAGTGAAAAATGTTAATATAGTTATGATGTGGAAAGAATATAAATATTTTTCAGATATATTTTTTGTCTACAAAAGATATACTGAATACTGAATTTTTACTCCTTCAAAATACTGGGATCCTAGAAAAAAACACCCCTTCCACATTGGATATAATTTTTTTTTTTAATGACTCGTGTCCCCAAATATGACCTAGCGGAAAATATTAATGGAGAGATGATATACTGAATCCTGAATTCTCACTAGTGATGTACTGTTTGGAACCTTTGGTGTAGAATCATTTTTTCTGATTTCGTCAGTAGGTATTCCTCAAGTTCTAAACGGTAATTATCGGGGTCAAAACTTGTATCTAATTCAGTTTTATTGAGAATGTAATTGATGAAATGCATAATAAATATTCCAAATTTGGAATGTTTGGCATTGTTTGGAATTATGTTTGCTTTTTATTTTGAATTTAATTTCTTCTACATTCAATAATGCGGCCACTATAATGACGACTTCTTCGTCAGAACTGCTAGTGATAGACATGTTTCTGTCACCGCTCGATTTCAAGTGAAATTTCCTTGAAATCGAATAAACACACCTTCAGTATGCTGGTTGCAGCTGGACAAGTGGATGATGCTACTTCCCGTCGCCGTGCTGTGATGTGCCGGACAAGTGAGCGACAAGCCTAAAGGTAGGCTTGTCGCTCACTTGTCCGGCGGTACTCTACAAGTACCGACTAAAGTTTGTCGCCCACTGTAACCACTTTTGGAATGCGTTATAATACTCAACATCGTTCACCAGGCCGTTTTCCAAAATGTTCAATGTATTTTTTCTTTCCAAGAATTTAGCATAACCGATTCTACACATCTATACTTTGTAAAATATTTTAGATGTTCTATAGAAATATGTAAATTTTGGTTTAGGCTTTCTATTCAATTCTTCTTCAGCTTTTGTAACACCTTCATCTGAATTTTCATCTGATAAATATAATTCTTTTGAAACTGTAGATAAGCTATGCTTTGATATGCCTAAATCAATTTCATTATTAATTTTCATTACGTGTCCTCTAACTTTTCTTATGAATGTTGTCGGTTTTGAGAAAACCAAACCATCTCTCTATCAGAGCATTACTCAGTCTACTTTTTGTGATGTCTATAGACCACAGTGGAGACAATCCCATATATCTTTCCAACACAGCTTCTATTGAAGAAGGGGGGAGGAAAAACTCGTTTTTATACCCCCTTCCTCTTCTAATAATTTATTATGTTACTGCAAATATTGTTTTAATGCATCTTTTTGATTTTTTGTTTTGAACCGTTTTGATGTGATTTTCAATTACCTGAACCAAATTTTTCATGAAATGACCACAGCATAATGAATAATAGTTTCAAAAAACTAAAAAACAATGTTTAATAGCAACAAGAGTTCGAAACTAGGTTAAGATTGTCTTCAACATCGATAATAAGTCCTATGGCTTGATGTAACTAGTGACTTTTAATAAGTATGAAATCAGAATAAATATATTTACAAAAAAATTAATTTTGTTGTTAAAAGCGTGGGATGCTTTAAATTATATTTTTATTATGGCTCCAATCTGGCAAACAGCTCATAACCAAGTATTTATGACAATGGATATTTAGAACCCCATGTTTTTTCACAACAAAATTATTTTTTTTATAAATAGATTCATCCTAATTTCAGACTTATTAAAAGTAATTAGTTACATCAAGCCTTTGGACTTATTATCGGTGTTGAACGCAATCTTAACTTAGTTTCGAATTATTTTTTAGTTTGTGTTGCTATTAAAGAGTGTTTTTTAGTTTTTTAAACTATTATTTTTTTCCAACTTTTTAGTTTGGCTTGCTATTTCAAGCCCATTTATTTCAATATAAAAAATATAGGCATGTCCATATTATGGTTGCCTCACTTGCTCTCACACAGAGACTGTGTCAGGAAATTATTTAATCCTGGCGATCCTGATCAAGATAATGCGATAAACCAATGAAATTATTGTATTGTCACCGATTCTTGATAAGTGTACGAAGTTTAAAATAAATCCGCCGTTTAAAGTTAAGCAAAATCGAGTCCAAAGGAGTCGGTTGCAAACAAACATGTGATTTTTTTATTTTTTTGCAGATGTTCAAAACATTGCAAATATATTTCAAGATCTATATTATTAAATGCTTTAGATGCTGCATTTAAACTGCAAAACTAAAGTTTAAATACAGGTCACGACTTCTGCTCTTCGCATTTTTTTTTTAATTTATAGAATAAACAAATATTCCTAGAGTATCGTGTTCACACGAAATCATCTCCATTACAGGACAAAGTCTTCTTGGGTTAAAGTAAGAATACCAGCGTAATAAAGAATTCTCCTTTCGTCTTTTCCGCTATTACAAACAACCGCGCCTGTAGCATCAAAATGCAAAACTTTAAGCGATGAAGTTTTCACAACTTCTAATTATGACTATCAAAATATATTTTTCGATTAAGACGATTTTCAATTTTGTCTCCCATTTTCCTCTTATTTTCATCTTAAAATAAAATTGAATCAGGCGTTTTTAAACCATATAAGAGAAATATAACATGAAAATATCTAATGAAATCAATGGACTCAATATTGCTAATTTAAAACGACCAATGGACTTTATAGTTTTTACAACCAACGCGTAAAACAGATAAAACACGATTCACAACTACCTAGATATTTCAACTTTGCATCAGAACTGACATAGCGCGTTGAAACAATATTTACAGAGGTGTGCTTAGTCAAAATGAGATCATATTGAAATATATACACAACTCATGTCAATGCCAAAAAACTTATTGAAAATTTTACTGTTGAACAATTCCAAATAGTGAAATAATCGAAAATGTAGGCAAAAACTAGTTATATTCTTTCCACATCATAACTTTATTAACTTTTTTCACTTGGTCGTATCCGGGGACAAATGACAATTTACTGAGGAAAAAAAATTCTTTTGACATATAGGGTTTCTTTTTCTATAATGTCATCATTCTGGAAGACTGAAAATTCAGTGTTCAGTATATTATCTCTTCATTAACATTTTTCATTAGGTCATATTTGGGGACACGAGCCATTTTAAAAAAGAAACAAATTTACATCCAATGTGGATGAAGGGGTGTTTTTTCTAGAATCCCAGTATTTTGAAGGACTGAACATTCAGTGTTCAGTATATCTTTTTTTGTAGACGACAAAAAATATATCTGAAAAATATTTATATTCTTTCCACATCATAACTTTATTAAAATTTTTCACTTGGTCGTATCCGGTGACAAGTGACCGTTTACTTACAGAAAAAAAAAATCTTTTGACGTATAGGGATTTTTCTTTAACGCCATCATTTTGAAGGACTGAAAATTCAGTGTTCAGTATATCATCTCTTCAATAACATTTTTCGCTAGGTCATATTTGGGGACACGAGCCAATTTAAAAAGGAATAAATCTAATGTGGATGGTTTTTTCTAGGATCCCGGATCCCGTTATTTTCAAGGACTGAAATTTCAGTATTCAGAATATAATTGATAACAATTTACAGTTTGGGAAGCGAAATATCATTTTTTTACTGGGTTATGAATTTCACCAGTTATAATCCAATAGTGAGGTTGTTGTTTTATATCTATCGCATTCACGTCACTATCATCTAGTCATTTTAATACAGATTATAATAGCTTCATGCAGTATAATGATATTTTCAAGTTTGAAGACGTTGTTGAGAGGAATTGATCGTGTAAAATATTGGTTTCCATATTAGCGATCTCCGTGAATCAATGTAAATCGGACTCGAGAGTGGGGGCGGGCGCTAGATTTGGGCGCTTGCGCCCGACGCTAACTTCACGCAAGTCTACTGGTGAAACTTATGGCGGGTTGAAACACTTTCTTGTGTGGGAATCCCACAGTGGGATAGGGATGCTTTGTTTTTAGGCTGTGGTTTCAAAAAGAAGGTATTGGTTGAAAAATTTGGCATTATGACTACTGACAACTTTTCGACAATTTCATTTTCTTTTGTATTACATTTTTCTTTTATATGTTTCCTGAAACTTTAAGGACAAATTCAAAAATTGGTAATAATAATGAGATATAACACAGTGCTTACAGTTCTCTATTTTCACTTTTCTCAACGAATTAATGAAGACTCTCAACATCTCAATGAGTAAACAATTTTTATACTCTCAACGTCTTACTGAGTCAGCAATTTTTATTTCAGAGTTCCTTACGTAGAAGCAGTTCTATATGAAACCGAGAGGTTTTGTACAATAGCCCCAATTATTGGACCAAGACGTGTTCTTCGAAAAACTACTTTGAATGGGTATGACATTCCGAAAGTAGGTTTTTACTTTATTTAAATTTAATCTTAACATGATGTTGAATTAATTCTTACCACTTTTTGAGGATACAACAGTATTAATCCACATACACTCAGTTCACAATGACGTAGATTATTGGCAGGATCCTGAGATATTTAGACCAGATAGATTCTTGGACCCAAAGGGAAATTTGATGTATCATGATAGATTTTTGCCATTTGGTTTAGGTAAGATGAAAGAAAGTTTGTTGATTCAGTACCAGGTACATACATCATTTTCAATCGACTTCAACATTTGAGCTTACTACCTCAATAAGAATAATCCTAATCCTGCGGGTTCAATAGAGAACTCAAATGAAGCTGTTTTGATTTGTCGTAAATCTGATATCACCGCCTGTTTAGAGTTAAAGCTGCAAAGCTTTTTCTGAAGGGAATTTGAGTATTCTACAGATAATTTGTTCGTTTGATAATATTCATAATCACTTCTTTAGCTCTACAATAAATAGAAAAATAGAAGCACAAAAAATAATTTCCAACTCTTTCTTGTGAAAGTTGTGAAACTCTCAAGCATCTACATAAGAAACGTTCATTTGAAATTATTAAATGTTTCGCCACTTTGTAGTAGGTGAAGATATTGACTTCATATTCTAAAGTTGTCGAAGCATTCGTCAGGGGCTTCAAAATGATGTGTCACAAGACCCCCTTTCCATTTAATTTTTTTCCCAGATGGCGCCCAGTCGCCATCTTGAAAGTTTCATCTGTCAATTCCACTTCAAAATAAAGTATTCATGCATTAATTTCATTATCCCAAATCTCAATTTTTTTAGTTGACCCGTTCAAAAAATAAAAGGGGGGGCATTAAAGAAATGCACTGTATGAAAGTATAGATATGAAATGTAACTTACAATAATTGTGTACTTCGAAGTTTCGGGACATGCTACTTGTCTTATCACCACCTTTTTGAATCGGTAGAAAACTCCAATGTAGATATGAAAAAGTAGAAAGCCAAAAAGTTTTTTTTGCCCAGGTAAATAATTTAAAGAAAAAATGAAAAAGAAAATGGAATTATTTATTGAAATATTTTGTTTATTTTTGCGTATCTCATTTTCAAATAGTCAACGTCCAAGTAATAGAAATAAATGTTCTAGACTTTATTTTAACATTTCAATATTTTTATGTAGGTACTTTCACTGAATTTTTGTAACGATAATTCGAATTATGGAATATCCTCTCTGCCGATTCTCTCTATGCTCCAACAATCAAGAACAGTTTCAAAATCATAATTATTTCAATAGCAGTTAGAAGCAGGTCTTTTAATGGGTGATAAGCCATTTTTAAAGTAGTTGACTCTGAACCCTAAATAATTTCTTCCTCTGATCAAAATATACTTTTGTCAATACATTTGCTCAATTTTGTTGAGACATTTCTCATTTTTTTTCTCACCAATAAAATCTCAAATCACCATTTCATTTAAACATACTACCCGTAGAGATATTAAAATTGTATATACAGAATCAACTGCACAAAATATGACAAAGAATTTAGAAAATCATTGAAAGACTTCCATGGTTTCTAAATATGGTATATTTGCCTAATATTTCAGATTCAGGACTTTTTCAATGTTTATTTCATGGTAGTCAATTCTTCCTATAATAAAACAAAATGCATCCATTTGAAAGCCTTTAATTTGGATAACTTTTTATTATTTTAGGTAAAAGGAGATGTCTGGGAGAAATATTAGCAAAAAATTGTATATTTACCTTTTTCTCGCAAATCATGAAAAGTTACCAAATTGAATTGCCACCTAATGCTAAAAAACCTACAGGAGTACCTCAACCTGGAATCACTTTAAGCCCAGAAAAATATAGAGCAATATTTATTAAAAGATGAGTGTTGTTGAAATTGAATTGGGTAATTATAGAAATAACAGAGAAAATAAAAACCTTTTTAAACGGAATATTAGTTTTTTATATCATGTTTTATATTCAAGCACTCTGAAATTCAATCAGAAAAATACTATACATACAAGGTGGCTCAAACGGAAAAATCCAAAAAAATTTTCACACAGGAGACCTCAAGTCCTATGTATGTTATTCGATTATTTGTAGTTCTCGGCTTGAATATCTTTCAATTATTTTTCGAGAATTTTCAAATTTTTTTTATGTCCGATTAGGTCAAATTTAAATTTCCAGCTATGGGCTTTTACTTGCTAAAATAGGGCTTCTGTGAAAACAAATCAATTATGACCGATTCATAAAATAACAGTTTTTTCGCTTCCCCTCAATTTTTATCGAAACCCTATTCTGGATGCTTGTCATTTTCTTTAATAACCTAAGAACTGAGGAAGAATGCTGACATTTTATAGGAAAAATGACATATTTTTCTCAAAGAGAGTTCACTCACCCCGTATAACTGAAAGGTAAAACTGTATATATTAAATCGAAAATAATCACTGATCCCACACACTGCAACACCCTTCTCGACATTCGTTTCATCTCGTATTGGCATCATAAGGAAATGAACTAGACCAATTTTAGAGACAAACTAGATTCACTCTAGTTCATCTTTTGACGACAGCAACTTAATTGTTGAAATAGGTGTCGCGTTAAATCGCGAATAAACTCAATTTTTTAATAAAACTTGTCAATGAACACAATAATTTGAATACTAAACACTACTAGTTTTTACGAAATTAAACTTTAGAGGCACTTGTGACAAAATATAATAGGTTTCATTGTTCATTGGTCAAGTGTTTTTAATAATACTTCACAAACGAATAACTATCATTGAGAATTTGCACCGTTGACCGCCAATTTTAGCATATGACAGCCTAGTAGTTACCCCTATTTTTGTATTATTCTGAGAAAGTTCAGTTCAGTTCAGTTCAATAACTAATGACAGTATCTTGACGTTCATTGATTCCATTGTCTAATATGACATAAAATGATTTGAAATCCCTGAAAGAACCAATAAAATTGAAAATTCCACACCTGTAATTTTTAACCAATCAAAATACGTTATTTTGACATATCAACATGGCAAACTAGGTATTTTACTGGAAATTTTTTTCTCGTGGGATACCCAACAGCGAATAATACCAGAAATTTTTTAACGTTTACAATAACAGGCAATTTTTGACAGATTGATTTCCATTTGTTCACATAATATTTAGTTTTGATACATTTTAATTACAAAGCTAAGATGTTTTCTATATTCTTCGGACACCTCCTCTCTTCTTAATGGCGAAAATGCAGGACTTTGAATATTTTAAATTAAGTGTCTATGCTATCAAAATATATATAATATTTAGACACTAAATTCATTCACGTTTTTCCCATTCAGTACTTTCAATTTTGGGTAGTTTAGATGCAAATATTCGTGGAAAATTCGAAACAAATTTTCTTTCTTCAAGTTGGAGCCACAATCCTCTAATAATGCGAGTAAATAAGTCATGGTACGATGATTGATCATTACATCAGACAATTTCACGCATATTTTGCATATAGTAAGATTTTCATACCGATTCATTTTTTAAACAAAGAATTTTGTTGGTTTTACTGGATGTGTAATATTCTTCATTGCAACAAAATGTTAAATGCAGAATTTTAGCATTCCACCATTTCTTCTTGTAATAATGATTACTTTATATTTTGAAGATATTTATTCACGTATAGTTCTTCTACCATATTGCATTTTTCACTATAAACAACATACATCTCAAATCATATCACAGAACAACATAAAAACAGACAATTGACATAGAATTGCACTCCCACACTTTCCCCCAATTCTACAATCTTCAAAGTATGTAAATTAAAACTATTTCAAATAAACAAAGTAAAGTTCGAATATGGGTTATGTGTGCTTTTGTTGAGTGCTTTTCAAAATAAGACAAATTTATTAGCACTTAGAGCTTTTGTAAAAATGTCTGCAACTTGTTTATCTGTAGAAATATATTCTATTTGAATTTTATTCAGGTCAACCAGATCTTTAATGAAATGAAATTTAACATCAATATGTTTAGATCTTTTTGTTTCATAAGTATATGCCATTTTAATTGTAGACTGATTATCCTCATATATTTTAATAGGATATATATCATACTTAATTAAATCATATATTAGTTGTTCTAAAAACAAACATTCAGTTGTACAAGAAGCTAACGCTACATATTCTGCTTCGCAGCTTGATAGAGCAACAACTGATTGTTCGTTAGAATTCCAGAATACAGTATTGGTGTTTATTTTCAGGAGAAAACCAGTTATACTTTTTCTATCGTTTAAATCACTTGCATAATCACCATCAACAAAAGCTGATATTTTTATTTTATTTGAATTCTTATAGTAGGTTAAGCCTAAATTTTCAGTACCCTTAAGATATTTAAGAACATTTTTAAGATTCAAAGTAGAACTCATGTGAATGATATCTGATTCTTATTCCTCAACAAATGTTTGATATACAAACTGAATAGAGAAAAGTATCTTCTGTATAATTCAGTGTTCATATAGAAGTATTTGTTTCGAAAGAATTTTTTTTCTTTCGTGTAATTCAATGTTTATATGAAAGTAGCTGTTTCAGAAACATTTAGGACTTTGTCTAAGACCATACATTGCCTTTTTCAATTCACATACCTGACCTGGTTCGTAATTAGTTAAACCGTCAGGTGGTTTCATATAGACTACCTCATTCAGGTTACTTTTCAAAAAAGCTGATCTTACATCTAATTGGTGGATATTTAGATCATTGTCTACTGCTAGAGCAAGTAAAACTCTCAATGTCACCATTCTTGCTACTGGTGCATACACTTCTAATGATGGTTGCTGATAGCCCCTGGCTACCAATCTGGCCTTCTTCTTCACTTTTCCATCAACCAATTTCTCACTCAATATCCACTTAGAGTCTATAATATTTGTGTCGCTAGATGGTGATATCATTTTCCAGGTTTGATTTTGTTCCAATGATTTCAATTCTTCGGTTATCGCTATATCCCATCCATTTTGCATTTTCAGGGCTTCGTCATAACTTTTAGGAATTTCATGGGGTAAGTTACCAGCTGATAGGGCTGCCATTAATTCCATATCTCCATTCAAATCATATTCCAGTAAATGTTCTGGCAATTTTTTTTTTCTTTGACTTCTACGAACATTCATACTGTCCTTGATATTATTATCAGAGTGAATAACACCAATATCCTCTTCATTTCTTTATTCTTCTTTATTGTCTTCCTCAGTTAGTATTGGTTGTACTTCTGGGTTTATTGCATCTTTTATATTTCTGTTTTCACAAAAAATAACGGATCTTGATACCATTACTGTTTTTTGTTCATTATCATACAGTTGTGAATCTAATTTTCCTGTACGATTTTCTTTTGGTACATGTACATATGCCACACAACCAAAAACTTTAATTTTATTTATATCTGGTTCATATCCATGTCACAGTTTGGCTGGAGTAGAGTTTTTGGGAATCGCTGCTGCTTCCAGTTGATTATGTAGATAGACTGCTGCACACAGAGCGTCACCCCAAAAATATTTTTCCAGATTTGAATCAAATATCAAACATCTTGATTTCTCCAGGATCGTTCTGTTGAATCTTTCAGCAATTCCTATTTGTTCTGGATTCCTTGGTATTGTATATTCAACCTGTATACCTTTCTTCTTACAAAACATATGAAATTCTTTAGAGCCATAGTCTCCTCCATTATCGCAATGTATTCTTGATATTTTTGAATTGAATTTAGCACAAACTAACGCTTCATACTCTTTGAATTTTTCCATGACTTCCGATTTATTTGTGAGATATACATATGCAAAATGTGTGAAATGGTTTAAGAAACTTACATATTTTTTTGCCATCTCTTGTTGAAGGTGTGATGGGTCCTGACACATCTGTTGAGATTATTTCTAGAGCTCTCCGTGATTTCCTTTCATCAGGTTAAATAATTCTCAATTCTATTGATGTTATCTTCATCTGATTATGAATCCCAATGAATTTTCAATCTAGATTGCCCCCTTCGTAGAAAATGATAATAAATTTTTATAAATCAGAAAACTATCTATCCCATGCCAAATATTATCCAACCAATAATTATTTCATAAATACAATGAATTTTTATGAAACTAATTAAAGTTATCAAATTTCATTCAGACAAAAACATTTGTCCGAACTAACACGTATAAAATCAATCAAGAATGACATTCATTCCACGGATCCTCTTCTTCTCGATATTGAAAAAATTTAATAAATGACCAGCATTGCTAATTTCACAAAAAGTGTTTCATTTTCGAAAAATCTGCAAATAGGAATCAATCACAAAACGAAGATTACTGAAAGTATACAAAAAAAATTTTTTATTCCTATTTCAGATGAAAATCGACAATTAATACTGTTGATAGAAAGCATTAAAGAAAGTTCTAGACAATGAACTTTAACTTTCGCATTCTCCTGAAAAATATGACTACAGGTAATACTGATGGACAATTTAATTTCGATTTGATCAGTACCCCTACTATTTTCTTCCCGAAATGTTAATTAGCCTTGTAATGTNTGGTGTAATGTCCTGGAATGATCTGGGACATTGGGAAACTTCTTGGAACATCGAGGGAGTTATATATTGTAGTATCCCTCTATCCCTAACTAATGAAAAATGGGACTACAATTTTCGACTTCTAAAAATGTCTAGAAGAGTCCACTGTATTCCAGGACCTACTGGAATAATTCTGGAATGTTGTGGAATATTCAGAAATAGTTCAGAACGTTCCGGAACATTCAATATCATCTTGGGCCAGAAGCCATTTTTGTATGGATAGGGCTTATCATTGGTAGGGGTATATGAAGCGAAATCGGTCGGCCTTAGAAGTTTTTTTCAATCCACACAATCTCATATCAACTTCCTGAGCGAAGCCGAATACTTCAGCTATTAACACTATAATTAACATAAAAATGACTTGATATGTT